GTCACTAGTACTTTTAGTACTTATTCATATTCAGTCTAAAAGCCATAAAGTATTATTAGACTTTGAATTGTCGTTAAAACATTGGAAGTTTCCCTTTGAATATTCCTTAAATTTTATAAATACCTTCGAGTATTTCGAAAGCCCCATCAAAACGGTAACAATATATGCTTTTATTTTATATTATGCATATTTTCCAGTCATCTGAAATTTCTTTTACTAAATTTAAAAAGAATATAATAAATATAGTAATAAGTTTTATAATAGTAATAGTAAGCTAGTAACAAAATACACATTTGCTAAGATACTTGAATAATTATTTATTGTAACTTATATTTTTATAATAATTATCAATACCTATAAAACTACAAAAATCTGATTTTTTTAATTTTAATATAATTAGTTCTAATTATTTTAATTCTTTATTGATAATTAAATAACTTGAATTATTTTAAAAAATTAATAATATATCTCTAGAAATCAACAATATATTTTTAGAAACTGATAATATATCTCCAAAAATATTTTAACCAACTTATATATATTTTATTAGAGTTAATACTGTTAGAAAAACAAAATTATTAAAAAAAAATAATTATTAAAGAAGAAAATATCTTTAAAAATTCTGATACTTATTTGTTAAAGCTTATATTAAAATATTCTAATTTTTGATTTTTATAATATATTGATAAATTAAAAATTAATAATAATAATAATATTATTATTATAATTTAACTAAGAATACTTGTTAAAATTTCTCAAAAAATATTTTGATAGAGTTTTAACAAGTTATATATTAATTATTAATTAAAATTTTAGCAAAATTTCAGTTTTAACAAATTTTAAAATTTGATAAAATTTTAGCATTTTATTTATTAATAGTTTATTATAATTTTAATAAAATTTAGATAACTACTAAAAAATTTTTGGCAAGTATTCTTAAGTTTAATTACAAAAAGAAAAATCTTATTATTTATTTAATTATTTATAAACAAAAAATTATTACAGATATTAAAAAAAGCAGATAAATTAGTACAACAGAAAAAGAAGAAGACTCAAAAGAAAAATAAAAAAGCTCAGAGAAAAAAAAAGCTCAGAGAAAAAAAAAGCTCAGAGAAAAAAGAAGAAAACTCAAAGAAAATAAGTTGAATAAAAACTAAAAAGAGTATAAAAACAAAATAATATTTTTAAAAGAAAATAATATTTGTAAAAGAGCAAAAAAAATATAATAATGATATTTATATTATATAATTTTGTATCAATTTATATCAAATTATTTTTCAAGAATTAAAATTATTTGGTAATAATAAAAGTTATATAACTTTAAGTTACTTGTATTTTTTTAGTATAAATTTAAAATATAATAAATTATATATAATATTAAATAAATTTGTAATTAATTAATTATTTTTTTTATAAACTTTTATTATTGATGAATTAAAAAAAATCTTAGCAATATAATAAATATTTTTAAAATCTTTAACATTTTGTAAAAATAGAATTTAAAAAATTAATTAATAATATTATTTTTTAAAATAAGCTTAATTAAATTACTAATTAAATTTTTAAAAAAAAATTTATATAAAAAGTTATAAGTATTTTATATAATTAATTTGAAATTAAAACAAATTATATATTTTATTATATAAACTATTACTCTTAAAAAAGTAAAATTTGGTGACTATAAAGAAAATGTAATTATAAAGAGAGTTTTTTTTACTATATTTATTTATATGTAAATTGAAAAGCAAAATAGAATGATTATAAAGAAATATAACTATTAATGAATGTAATTATAAAGAAATTTAACTATAATATAATTAATATTATATATTATATAATTATTCTAATACAAATATATTCAAATTAATATAATTTTTTAAATTATCCAGTGGGCAAATTTGTTAACTAAAATTTTTTTTAGCTTGTTTTTGTACATTTACTCCTAATTTTTATAAGTTTAAATAAATTATGTTCATATTTATTTTGTAAATAATATAATATTTATCTATATAAAAATATTTATATTTTAATTATTTACTTTTGATTATCCTCTTTAAAAATTTCCATGAAAATATTGTGTCACAATATGCAAAATGCATTTTAATATGATTTTTATATGGACTAATCTCAATTTTGTAGAAAATAATTGAGTATTTTTTAAGTATATAGAGTTAAAATAATAGTTTAACAAAAGCAGAACATGTTACAGAAGATTTTTGTTGTACGTGTATGAGTATATTTCTGAAGAGCTTGTTCTCAGATACATTATTTATATGCCAATTTGCATTAATACAAGGGAGAACATATTGAATACTGATACTTTAGGGATATAAAACCCTGCTTATATGCATTTTGAAATAAATTTTTAAAAACTGTTCGCCATTATTGTTCGAGTGAACTTATCAACTTTTATGTTTAAATTGGAATTGGACATATAGTTTTAAATATGTGGCGCAGCTTTTTACGTCCAATTGGATCTTACAATACTGCAGTATCCAGACTTTACACAATACAAGAATATGATTACTTCAAAGAAAATGACACCCAACAGATTATCCATCTCCTCTTTGCATTGATACAGTTCAGAACTCGATTTAACAACTATGTGAATTATCAAATCGCGAGTTAGCGACTCCCAGAATCATTATTATTAGTATTTCTTGAAATTTGATTGTTAAATCGAATTCTCATATTTCTTGTAGGATTTAACCAATTTTGGATTGACCGAATTTAAATCAGATTTGTTGCGCCAGAAAAATTTACCAAATCGATAAATTCTAACTACGCTAAAAAGTTTTTGCATATTAAAATGAAAAGGTTTTGAGGTTACATGAAATTCCTTCAACTGCTGCCTCGTCTGGAAGAGTTATCAACTTTGGCTCTATAAAGGATGATTTTTAAGTTTTGAATGAAAAATTTAAATTTCGCCAGAATCAAAATCAAATAGAGATTATGGAAATCGTTAAATTGAACGCGATTTCAATATAGTGATTTGGGAACAAGAGTCGCTAACGCGCGCGATTTTATTAAATCGCATAGTCGTTAAATCTGGCCCTGACTGCACTGTGCAATGTCTTATGGTGGTACGTACTTTGTAAGGTTTAACTATTTACAAGTGTGATTGAATTGTTCGAAGCATTTCGATCGAAGTTTGCGTGGGATATGTAAATGTATGCGCCAGTAATATGCTTTACTTCCTTTGCGTTTAACAAGAGTGTAAAAGTTAAACTGCGAACTCTCGTGCACATTACTGCAAATCAATGCTTCCAACTTTTAGTGGTTAGACATCCATCCCTTATCACTTAAATATATTTAATTTGTGTGCAAAAAACAAATGCTCGGATGCGTAACGGTAACGAAAAATTTATCGTTGTCAACACAGAAATGCACAGGAACAAAGCCATACTAGTCAAGTTTGTTAGCTTAGAGTTATCGTTAGGGATTCGAGTACAATGTTAAATAAAGAATAAATAAATTAATTAGTTAACCAAAGTAAATTATCTCTCTATACTAAACTCCCTAAAAAGAAAATCACACTTCCTCCGACCGAGTATTATCCCCTTGAACATCACTGTTATCATGAGGCAGAGTACCTTGAGGACTTAGAACACCAGGTCTTTGTTTCGGATGATGCTTGTAAAGCGGGAAATCCAAAAGAATCGTTCGTTTCACCCAATCTGGAAATTTCTTATACAGAACCGGTGGCATTGGAATCAAGATACTGGTTTGCTCACGATACACAAAATACACGTTTTCGTGGCCTAATGTGTATTGTTTTTTCTGTGTTGGGATTTCTGTCATTGGTAGGCCCGTAACGAAGAGCAATAAAGCTAGAAAGTAAAAAATATTGCGAGCGTGTTGTTAGAGAATTTCTATTTCATGTTTGAATCAAGATTTCATGGAAACAAAATAAATGCGCACCAGTTATATATATTGGTGATAATATTGAGAGCCAAGGTATATTTGTGCCGATTCCCGAGGCAGTTGGTTGTATACAAAGTAAAAACATTCCCCACCTTAATAAGAATAATAATTAAAGTTTGCGATGAAAGCCGAACTAGCATTTGATATTGGAAATAAAATTCACTTACCAAATCTAATTTGATTATGTAAATTTTTGTTCAATTAACATTTATAACATATAAAAAGTTCAAGGATAATTGTAACATATATTTTTTCTTACTAAAATTTCTCCAAAGTAATTTGGATGACGACTCCATCCCCATAAACCGGTTGTAATATATTCCAAAGAAGAGGTTCGCCGCAACCGAAATTGTAGCTATAAGTGATGCTTTATCAGTAAAAATCCAAAAGCATTTATGTTTGCAATGGCATATATGCACAAAAACATATAAAAAAAACTTGCTTTTGACCAATCAGCAACAGACTCAATTAACAATCCAGTTACAAAGAAAATGACTCCAAAAATGTCGCTTCCCGTTCCGAACATTACATCATGTCCTCCATACGAAGGATCACTCACACGAGGAGAGTTCAAAAAAGTCAATGGTAACGAACAGACCCATACCCATGTCATCGACAGTACCCAAAATCCGAGAAAAGGAAGGAATTTTTCTCTTAAACCGTTAAATCGGGAATCGAGCCCACCTGTTTTGTGCATACGATAGTAACAAAATACTAATAGAATTTATGAGTTTGGATAATTTTTTTATTTATAAAAAATAATTTTTTGAATTACCTCCAAGACGTAGTCCCCATAACATTTGAAAAAATGAAGCAACTACTTGTCGAGTATAGTATTCCTAAATAAACAAACAACTGATTTTTAGACTATAATATAAAACAATTTTCTTCGAATATCGATTTACCTGTCCAAGCACAATAGTTACAATTGCAAGAACAGAAAAATTTGATCCTCCTAAAATAAATTATGGAAAAATTTTGACTAAAAAGCTCGATAGAATTTTCAAATGATTGATAAATACGTGCCTGAAAAATCCGTAACTAAAAATATGTATAAAGAAATTTTTAACCAATAAAATATTTTATCATACAAAAAATCAAATAAAAAAAAACTTACATTTATCATATTGAAAGAAATATGCTATTGTAAAGAAAGCTAACTGATATGCGACCGTAACTACTCCGCTAATTGTAAGAAGATAATAATCTAGCACTTGTTGTACTGCCATCCTATTATTATCGTTATCGTTATTGTTAACATTAATACATGTATTAAACTAACGGTGATGTTGATCAATGATTTCTTTGGACTCTAATCTGATTTGGCCAACATGATTACATGATTAACAATAACGATAATACCAGGTAACATTATAAGATTTCTGATGACGTAAAAAATTCTCGAATATGTGATTCCGATCCATCCGATGTATGCCGATATGCCCCTTAAAATTGATTGACCAATCAAATCGCAAGATCAACTTGTAATTTCAAACCAAATTAGAATAGGAGTTCTACTAGAGTTGGGGTTAGAAATAGATTAATGTTGGCCTAAGTGAGCACATGAATCGACACCTGAGGCAAAAACGACATCTGAGAGATACCCTAGTCATGGCGAAAAATTCTCGAAACACGTGATTCCGATCCATCCGATCTTCTAATTAGAGTTTTGGTTAAGGGTTAATGGTCAGAGTTAAAGTTAGAGTTAGATTAATCAAGAAGTAATAGTGAAATTTTACAAGGAACATTTTTTGTTATAACACAAAAGGCAGTTTCATAGATAAGATTTTGAGATACAAGCTATTTTTCTAGCATTTAAATCGTTACCTGGAGTACAAATAATTTCGGAATGATCAACATTGGGTAGTTGACTGGATATAGTCAATATGCTGATAATCCAATTGTTATACGGAGTTTAATAGGAGTTATCGTTATATTTTTGGTCAAGTCTGAAACCTGGAAGTTCTCATGGAATTCTTTAATAGACACGATGATCATCATCGGGCAGAAAATTCCGCAACTTTACATGTACTATCGAGAAGTTAAATGTTACCATAAATGGTATAATTAGATCCGAAATTCAATTATACATGTACATGTAACTTTGTTCATGTACTCTAATCCATGCAGAAGGAAAAAAATGTAGATGCTACCATAATCGGTAGATATGTTTTTGAGACTACGTATAATTTTATGATTTCAAAGAAAATTAAATGTTATTATACTCAACTTCGAGATGTTGGGCCCGTAATATACTAAAATTTGTATAGTTATACGGCGTTGTACACAAATGTTGTCTGGCGGTTTTTGGCGGACACAGGACAGTCCGAAAGTTCACAGACAAGTCAATCTCAACATAGGAAGTCCTTGAGAAGTGATGTGCCGGACATTAGTTGCGGAATTTCCCCCCGGTAGTACCGATCATTTTACCCTTGCTTTGAGAAACTCCCATACATGTAATGTTTTGTGCGTTTTTGGAAGACAAAACAAATACGACTTGTTGATTAAAATTAAGGAAGTTAATGAAAATATTTTCTCAAAATTGAATAGATTGAAGAGTGGGGTTGACTTAGAAAACACTTTTCAGAAGCTTCTCGGATGAATTTATCACAATAAGATAATAGTCATTGACAAGTTACACTTTAAAATCAATTCATTTTTAATTCAGAAATCTAAATAAAACCAAAGAGTCAAAAACAAAATAACGATAATTTAATGCACTCTTTCTTTGTGACGATAAAATTGGATGTGAAACAAAAAAACTTCCATATGCGTGGTTTTTTATCTAATATCAGAATTTGTCTTCCATTGTTTTATATGTATGTATTTAATTTCCCGAACATGCATCCTTGTAGATGCTGAGACAGAAACTTCATTATATCACATGAATAAAAATGTCGTTTGTAGAGTAAACAAAGGGGCACATCAAAAGGAGTTTTAAAAAGAAGAGTTTTTGTATGCGCTTCTTATTTTTCTTCTCGAATAGATTTCGACAATTCTACGGCCGTACGTAATAGAAATTTTGATCTACATGGATGGGATGGTTACATTTTACGTACATGTATTTACATAATATGGAATAATAATAAGTAAGGGAAATTAGAATTTATGTAGAATTCTTATTGCATGTATTTGGATTAATTATCGGCCATCCATGTTTTGTTCACTGCACTGTTCCTTCTCTTATAAAAGGAGATCTGAATTCTTTTGTTGTTCACTCCTTTATAAAAGAATTTCTGAATTATTTCTCGGCTATTTATACTGTAATCAATCCTAACATATATAACATAGCAATTTATTTGCATATAACCACTCTTGAACTATTATACGAATTTTCCTGATTTAATCAAAGATGGTTACAGCTACAACCCTCTTGGTTCCAAACCAAAACAACCTAAACTTGAAAGGTAGACGAAGCAACAAATCATTAAAAAGCGTTCGATCTAGCCGGTCAAACCAATCAAAGAGGTCAAACTCATTTGACGAGAATCAACCCAATCTAGAAATAGAATCAAATAAATCATCGACATCCACCACCACAGAAAACGAAGTAATAGTCTGTTCATTATCCGATTCATTAGATGTTATAATAGAAGTTGGTGAAGGATCCAACGTAAAGAAATTTAAGACAAATTCCGAGGCACTTATTCGATGCCCTTATTTCAACGCGGGCCTTTCAACGAGGTGGGCAGAAAAAGAAAATGGTCATTACATGTTTAAGAAACCAAATATTACACCACAAATATTTGAAGTTATTTTAAGGTGAGATTAGAATATTTCTAATTATCAGTTGTTCATTTATCGATAAACTGACTGATTTATTTATTTGATTTTTTTTTAGATTTATCGTGAAAGACGAATTTAGTTTCGAAAACTTTAATCAAAGTATATTGCAATTATTGCTAGCAGCTGAAGAATTTATGTTAGATGAACTTTGTGAATTGATTCATGAAAATGCATATAACTGTAAAAACTTTTGGTATCAAGAAGATTCTGCAACATTATTAAAGACAATTTTTGAGTGCGAATCTTTTATTAAGCTACGAGGTCCAATGACAGACTGGATAAATGAAAATCCGAATTGGCTTTTTAATTCACCAAACTTTGGCTCACTTAAATTATCGATTCTAAGATCAATTATTTCAAATAATTCGGTCAATGACTCATGTAAATGGGATATTTTAATTCAATGGAGTGTTTCACAAATTGTATCGCTCGAATCAAAAGATAGCACTAAATGGTCGGTAGTCGTATTCGAGGTGTTGAAGGAGAGTCTTGCTAATCATCTTTCACTTATAAGATTTTCATCGTTATCAAGAAATGATTATTATAACAAAATTTTACCTCTACGAGAAGTTTTACCGGATATTATGGATTCCACATTACAATATTATCTTAAAGAAGACAAAAAACAATCGCATCATACTCATTCCGATTCGGCAACATCGATGACAAGCTCCACAGCATCTTCGATAAGAACACGAATAATCCTCGAAGATTCAAATATCATCAATCACGCACAAGCATTGAAAATCTGCAAATGGTTGAATGGCAGCAATAGCATATTGAAAAAAAATGACATCAATTATTCTAACTTTATATCTCGATTCACCAAAAGATACGAATTCAAATTATTATATCGTGGCAGTAGAGACGGATTTTCCAGTGGTACTTATCATTCGCTATGTGACAACAAAGGGAAAGTAATTGTACTTGCAAAAGTTGCTCGATCTCCAATGGTAATTGGCGGCTATTATCCAATGGATGCAGCCGCACAACTCAACTATGTCGACTATGTATCTTCAAAAAAGAGCTTTATCTTTTCATTCAGTCGAAATAATTCTGATGAAGCCACTCCTAGTCGTATTGGAAGATTGTCCTATTCTCCTACGATTTGTTCTAGTGCTGCGGGACCTGGTTTTGGTCATGAAGAACTTGTATTCGATCTTGATAGTAGCCCTCGTAGTAAAATATGTTATACAAAATCAAGATACTATAGTCGTCAAATAGCTGAATTGGGTGAATATGAAATTGAAGATGTAGAAGTTTTTCAGCTTATTAAATTGTAAGAATAGTATTATTACGGAATTTTTAGTTCACCATTCTATAAATTTCTTAAGCTAAAATGTACATTTTATTTTGCAAAAGTACTCCGTCAACATAGTTTTGCAAAAACATTATATACCTTATAAACATCTTCTCTCCTGTATATATAAGTTTATTTCCCTTTGCTTTGTTATTGTCATTTTATATACCAGTTTATATTTTTCATTGAATTAAAATAAGCTACAAACCTGAAAAGTAAAAAATTATTCTGAATTTTAACATCATCCTTATACGTACGTAATATGTTTGTTCTCAGAAATATGCTATTCTTATCTTTTAAAGCATTAAACTTTTTCATCTTTGTAAAATACGCCTGAATTTATACATTAGTTGCTTTAAAGGAAACAATCAAATAAAAAAAAGACATGTTTCAAAGAAAGATTATTGGTTTTTGTTGGGTTTCCGTTATCAATTGGAGTTTCAGTCTACACGAAGCAAGCATTTAGTTGGTGTAATAAAGCAGCATTAAACGGAATTTTACCTTAAATAACAATAACTGGGTGGTAATAAATTTGTAGCGAACTTTGCCATTCAGATGATGCATAAAATCGGTCTGGTCAAGCATAGAAATTCACAAAAGCCTCATTGGGTAGTTACGTAATCAGTTCCGATTATTTACGAGATTGAAACAGTTTTTAGAGACTATAATTCGGGGAATGAAGCAACGATAGCTCGTATAAGTATTCAGAACAAGAAAATGCATTTAAAGCATTGTTCTTTGCCACAAGTCAACCATATACGCAAAAGTCTTTTTCTCAAAGACTATAAAAAGAGAAGTTTGATCAAGGTTTTACATTGATTTGTTTTATAGATTATCCAAAAAACCTCCTTTTGATTATATGTCTAATTAACCATATTACAGTCCGCGCGGAAAGTAATTGCGGAAAATTTCTACCATATAATTATTACTGAAGATGAGTCTTCAATCTCTTTCAAACCATTCACAGACTACTACAAGTTCAACTAGAGAAAAAAAGAAAGCAAAGAACCTTGGTGGAGACCAAAATCAATTTTATAGGGAATTCATGCCATACAAGGTAAAAAATATCAGATGGTCATTATCATAAAGATTATGCCAATTATTCCCAATGGAAACAAGCTGACACAACCATTATTCTTGTTCTAGCATGTGTTCATGAATTTCTTTTAGTAAATCCTCAAACCCTCTTTTTCTCATACAAGTACTCAAAAAAACTAATAATGTCAGAGGGTAATTACTTATCTATCGTATATGATCCCATTTAAAAATTTATGATCATATTCCTCAACAACTAGCTCGCTGAATTAAGTAGCAATACTTATTGAATAAATAAACCCTTCGAAAACGCGCCCAATCTCGTCCAAAAAGGGTTGCTTATAATCAGTCATATACGGTAGTATATACGTACTCGATATCGCTCATGCCCAGAAAAGACTAGAATCTTATTCCCACCTTATTTCCTCTTATAAGGTTAGCTCATCTTCCAAAGTCAGTGATTGAGGGAGGGAAGGGATGATTCGCATTGATTCCTTTTCCCATAAATTACATACGTACAGTAGGGACTATAAGTATCCGACCGCCCGGCATTACCCAAAATCATACTATAACGATCACCCAAATTTTCTGGGCGTAAAATGTACCTGGTCGCTTGTACATTTATAGATTGTTAGAGCTTCTATATCGGATATTGCATGTCATGTTTATAAACTTTCATGCACCAAATACAATAAATCGGTCACTTTAGGAGATAATATCTCGACGTCAAGTGACCCGGTTTGAGCGAAAATACTACTATTCGATTGTCTACGTAATCTAGATAAATCAAATGGTGAGATTTTTGCTCAAATTCGGATGTCGAGATATTATATTTGTCGATCAATTTTTCATTAGAAATTGATCGCAAAAAAAATGAATTGGTCAATTTAGGACGTAATACAGTGGCTCACACATGTAACCGAACACGAAAATTAACTTTCTAGCATTTTTATTTCCATGACTATTAGTTTG